GCAGCAGCTGAATCTGGAGCCAGTTCCGACTTACATACAAATTCAACTTAAGAACAAACCTATAGTCCCTATCTTGTACGTAACCCGGGGACTGCCTATATATATTTTGTTACCTTTTGAATAGGAAGCTACGTTTTCAGTAAAATGGATCCATTTTCTACCAACCAAATAATCTTTACCACTCATTGAGTCTATAAATAAGATAATCATGAGGAAAAGCCAGTTCCGACTTACATACAAATTCAACTTAAGAACAAACCTATAGTCCCTATCTTGTACGTAACCCGGGGACTGCCTATATATATTTTGTTACCTTTTGAATAGGAAGCTACGTTTTCAGTAAAATGGATCCATTTTCTACCAACCAAATAATCTTTACCACTCATTGAGTCTATAAATAAGATAATCATGAGGAAAATGTTTAACAGGTTTACCTGGCTTCCGAGGAATCAGTGGATTGGATGGTTTGCCAGGCACTAAAGGCTTACCAGGGTCCCCAGGTATGTGTGACAATCTTATTCTGTCCTATTATAAAGGCACCATGTTATATTGGCTATTCTATTCTCAGTTCACTTTGGGATGGGTTTATAATAGCATTTCTTAATTGACAGTGTTTTGAAACTCATCATGTGAACAGTAGGCCCCGTTTGTGTGGCTATTCCAGGATTTGGGGAAAAACTAATATATATACATTTACACCTAATCAAAATTGGGGGATTAGGAATAAAGCTTTACATCATAATCTTTTCTTTTGGCAGGTTGAAGTCAGTATTAAGAGTCTTGACATTATTTTAATACAGTTTTTAGTATGTATTAGAGCAACATTATGTGATCCTGAGATATTTTGCAGTTTACTCTTATTACCTTTAAAACAGGTCCAGATGCATATGGGACTGCAGGTTTCCCAGGTATTTATGGTGACAAAGGGGAAGCAGGAGAACCGAGCAGAATTGAAGGCACCAGAGGAGCTCCAGGTCAAAAAGGAGAGAGAGGCAATCCAGGTCAGTGCTAGGTGTTTGAATTTTTCATTATTATATGCTGGAGCAGTACAAATGTGCTAGCACACATTCTGTCTCTCTGCAATTTTAAGTTAAAGCTGTTTATAAGAAATCAGCATCCATTTCACTCAACTATGTCCCTGCTGTACCTGGTACAGTAGTAGTTCTCAATCTATGACAGTGTTGCTTAAACTTTTTAAGACCGAGGAACACTACACAATATTTTTTTTTATGAGGAACACCACGGATTTTTTTTTTTTTTTTAGCCAAAAAAAAAAAAGCTTGCCCCTTGAACAATGGATGACACTTTTACTGAGAACAACAATATTCGCTATGAAGCCTTCTAGACTTCTGCCTTTTTTATAAGGAAATATAATTTACTCTGTTTATTCATTTTGGTGGAAATTATAAATTCAGTACCTTATCAAGCACGGGTTAATGTCAAGCAGCTAACTTACAGCAGCCATAGCAGCCACACCAGCATTATAGGCACTGAGGGCCTTACCCTACCCCCCAATTCACATTGGGTCCCTTACTGCTTAATGTTTTGTCCTTCAGTAGTTCTAGCCCTTGGCTCTGTTGTTTTTGACACAGAATACTGAAGGGAAGGGTCTTGTCTGTGCAAAAGGGTGGAAGGGGCTGGTCCCTCTCAGCTCTCCTGGAAAACAAGCAAGGGCTAAAGACAGCGGTGCAAAAATCCAGTCGGGGTAGCAGTTTTAGGGCAGTTCTCTCCCCTGGCAGGCAGGATCCCCAGAGCAGCAGCAGAGACAGCCAATCAGAGACGGCCTTGCTGCTGGCCCTGCAACGCTCCTCTCCGCTGGCAAAAGGCACAATCGAGGTGCGGAGCTTTCCGAGGCGATTGCAAGTAGGGCACAGAAGCATGTGAAGAACGCAAGTAGCCCCGCTTCATTTCTGCCACGTCACCACTCGCTCACCTCTTCGCACCACTCGCTGCATCTCAGCAGCTCTCGCAGATGGTTTTTTTCTTCAAACGGACGCGGCACATCTGTGAGTTCTCTGCAGAACACCAGTGTTCCTCAGAACACAGTTTAAGAAACAAGGATCTATGCCATTAATTAACTGCATTGGAAATTAGAGTTTTCCATTATTTGTCATTTCCAAGTTTCATTTCCAAGCCTCACTCAAGTGCTTCAAGTTAATTCATATGTAGGATGTTCAGAAGAGCTAGTGCTACACTACAGAGAGGGTTTGGGTGTTGCCAACTCTTGTGATACTTGGTGTTTTCCGTAAAGTCGAATGTCACAGTTACTGGGCTAACTGTACTTCTGACCCCTCCTGGTCTCTTTGAGGGCACCTCTCAGGTCTAGGACTTCAAATTGATCCTCCCTCCTGTGGTGGAATCATGCAATTCTCCACTCTCAGACTGGGCCCTATGCTACGAGCCCAGATGCCAACCCCAGTTGCTTCCACAGGCCTTACTTTGGTTCAGTGCTTGCAGTTTGTTTCCCTGCAGTGGTTTTGAGAGAGGTATCCAGTGCCCTCATAGCTGGCTTAAAGTCAAGTAGTATTATTTTAGAACAGCAGCATTTCAGAGAAAACGGTTCCTAAAACAAACTAGTTTACATGCATGCTTGCCTCTCCCTAAAGCTTACCATTCCCTGGATCTGTGGAAGGTCCAGTTTCATTGTCAGCCTGCCTTCCCCGCTGCCACCCCACAACTGCTCACAATTCACCCTTCCTTGTGAGGATATCCATTTCAGTTCCAAGACTGTCTACAGTACACTATGCGGCTTTTCTGTCATTCAGATGTATCACTAGACGTCAGGTAGTGTAACTGCTGTTTGTCAGCTCTTTCACCAACAAAATACTTCCACCCCAAACAAAAAGGTTTCATTTTGTTGGCAACAAATCTCTCTCGCCGACCAACTTTTGTCTTCAGTAAAACTTTTTGTCTACAAATGCTAGCAGTCTAAATAATAATATGGGCAAACTAGAGTGCCTTGTATTAAAGGAGGATATTGATATAATAGGCATCACAGAAACTTGGTGCAGTGAGGACAATGAATGGGACACAGTCATTCCAGGGTACAAAATATATCGGAAGGACAGAACAGGTCATACTGGTTGGGGAGAGGCACTATATGTGAAAGAAAATGTAGAATCAAATGACGTAAAAATCTTAAATGAAACAAAATGTTCCATAGAGTAATTCCATGCTCTAATAATAAGAATATAGCATAGGGATCTATTATCGACCACATGACCAGGATAGTGATAGTGACTGTGGAATGCTAAGGGAGATTAGAGAAGCTATAAAAATAAAAAACTCAATAATCATGGGGGATTTCATCTATCCCCATATTGACTGGGTACACATCACCTCACAATGAGATGCAGGGATAAAATTTCTAGATACCTTAAGGTCTTGGAGCAGCTAGTTCTGGAATCCACCAGGGGAGAGACAATTCTTGATTTAGTGGAGTGCAGGATCTGGTACAAAAAGTAAAAATAACTGGACCACTTGGAAATAGTGACCATAATGTAATACTATTTAACATCCCTGTGGTGGGAAAAACACCTCAGCAGCCCAACACTGTGGTATTTAATTTCAGAAAGGGGAATTACACAAAAAATGACGAGGTTAGTTAAACAAAAATTAGAAGGTAGAGTGACAAAAGTAAAATCCCTGCAAGCTGCTTAGAAGCTTTTCAAAGACACTACAATATAGGCCCAACTTCAATGTTTACTCCAAATTAAAAAACACAGTAAGAAAACCAAAAAAGTGCCACTGTGGCTTAACAGCCAAGTAAAAAAAGCAATGAGAGATAAAAAGGCATTGTTTAAAAAGTGGAAGCTAAGGGGGGATGTTAGAGGCCTATAAAATCATGACTGACTTCTTTGTTTCAGTCGTCACAGAGAAGTCTGATGACTAACATAGTGAATGCTAGTGAGAACGGGGTAGATTTAGAAGATAAAATAAAAAAAGAACAAGTTAAAAATCACTTAGAAAAGTTAGATGTCTGCAAGTCACCAGGGCCTAATGAAATGCATCCTAGAATACTCAAGAAGCTGATAAAGGAGGTATCTGGGCCTTTAGCTATCATCTTTGGAAAATTATGGAAGACAGGAGAGGTTCCAGAAGGAAGAAAAAGGGCAAATATAGTGCCTGCCCATCTATAAAAAGGGAAATAAGAACAACCCAAGAAACTACAGACCAGTCAGTTTAGCTTCTGTGCCAGAAAAGATAATAGAGTAAGTAATTAAGGAAAACATCTGCAAACATTTGGAAGATAATAAGGTGATAGGGAACAGCCAGCATGGATTTGTAAAGAACAAATCATGTCAGACCAATCTGATAGCTTTCTTTGATAGTATAACGAGCTTTGTGGATAGGGAAGAGGCAGTGGATGTGGTCTACCTAGACTTTAGCAAGACATTTGATACGGTATCACATGATATTCTTATATTCTTATCAATAAACTAGGCAAATACAACTTAGATGGGGCTACTATAAGGTGGGTTGCATAACTGGCTGGATAACCGTTCCCAGAGAGTAGTTATTAATGGTTCACAATCCTGCTGGAAAGGTATAACAAGTAGGGTTCTGCTGGGGTCTGTTTTGGGACTGATTCTGTTCAATATCTTCATCAAAGACATAGATATTGGCATAGAGAGTACGCTTATTAAGTCTGCAGATGATACAAAGCTGGGAGGGGCTGCAACTGCTTTGGAGGGTAGGGTCATAATTCAAAGTCATCTGGACAAATTGGAGAAATGGTTTGAGGTAAACAGAATGAAGTTTCGTAAGGACAAATGCAAAGTGCTCCACTTAGGAAGGAACAATCAGTTTCACACATACAGAATGGGAAGCGACTGTCTAGAAAGGAGTACAGCAGAAAGGGATCTAGAGGTTATAGTGGACCACAGGCTAAATATGAGTCAACAGTGTGACACGGTTGCAAAAAAAGCAAACATGATTCTGGGATGCATTAACAGGTGTGTTGTGAACAAGACACGAGATGTCATTCTTCCTCTCTATTCTGTGCTGATTAGGCCTCAGTTGGAGTATTGTGTCCAGTTCTGGGCACCACATTTCAAGAAAGATGTGGAGAAATTGGAGAAGGTCCAGAGAAGAGCAGCAAGAATGATTAAAGGTCTAGAGAACATAACCTATGAAGGAAGACTGAAAGAATTGGGCTTGTTTAGTTTGGAAAAGAAAAGATTGAGAGGAGACATGATAGCAGTTTTCAGGTATCTAAAAGGAAGTCACAAGGAGGAGGGAGAAAACTTGTTCCTCCTTGCCTCTGAGGATAGAACAAGAAGCAATGGGCTTAAACTCCAGCAAGGGAGGTATAGGTTAGACATTAAGAAAAAGTTCCTAACTGTCAGGATGATTAAACACTGGAATAAATTGCCAAGGAGGTTGCGGAATCTCCATCTCTGGAGATATTTAAGAGTAGGTTAGATAAATGTCTATGGGATGGCCTAGACAGTACTTGGTCCTGCCATGAGGGCAGGGGACTGGACTCAATGACCTCTCGAGGTCCCTTCCAGTCCTAGTATTCTATGATTCTATGACTGGTGTGGAAAAAGTGAATAAGGAAGTTATTTACTTGTTTCCACAACATAAGAACTAGGGTGTCACCAAATGAAATTAATAGGTTGCAGGTTTAAAACATTCAAAAGGAAATTTTACTTCATGGAGCACAGAGTTAACCTGTGAAACTCCTTGTCATATGATGTTGTGACGACCAGGACTTCAACAGGGTTCAGAAAAGAACTAGATAAATGCATGGAGGTTAGGTCCATCAATGACTATTAGCCGGAATGGGTAGGAAAGATGTCCCTCGCCTCTGTTGGCAGAGGTTGGAAATGGATGACAGGAGAAGGATCACTTGATAAATTACCTGTTCAGTTTACTCCCTCTGGGGCATCTGGCATTGTCCCCTGTTGGAAGACAGGATGGCCCTCTGGTCTGATCCAGTATATCTTTCACAAGGAGGTCATTTTAACATTTCTTATTGACAAAAGTTTTCTAATTATTTGCCAGTGTAGACATAGCTTAAGCTCCTACCCTTGCAAAACAAGGTTAGCATCATTAGAGGTAGGCTATAGGATCCTTAAAACTAATAGCTTTTCCCATTGAATTTTCAAGTGTGCACAAGGAAGTTCTTAATCTTCAGAGCTCTTGTATTGCCTTCTTGTAAGTTTTTTTCACACTCCTGATGCATTAAAGCAATAAATATTGCTTTTCCCCCAATACAAGTTATGTATTTTCTCTCAATAACGAGGTGGCTACATACTGTGTTCATAATATTCTCACATAGGAACTCCTCTTTATACACCACTAATAATATGAAAGGAGAATTTTCCCTTCTGGGAAAAAAAGTGTCTAGAATTCCTGGTTTTTTGCCTGTCTCCTAGAGCTGGAAGGGACCTTGAAAGGTTATTGAGTCCAGTCCCCTGCCTTCACAGCAGGACCAAGTACCATCCCTGACAAATTTTTGCCCCAAATGGTGTCCTCAAGGATTGAGCTCACAATGCTAGGTTTAGCAGGCCAATGCTCAAACCACTGAGCTATCTCCCCCCACTTTTGTCATTAAAAAAAGGAGTACACCTTAAAGGCTCAGAAATGAGACGGCATATAAAAAACTGATTTTTCCCATCAGTAGCATTTATACCAAAGGAATAACCATGTTCGGTTTTTAAACAATATTCTGTTTAAAGGTAAATATTATTCAGTCTTCTGAAGTTGTTGTTAAAATCAATCTCTTTGTAGAATTATTTTATTAAAAGAAAACTAGGAGGCTGTACCCCCTGCTCGCTACGCTCGCCAACCCCCCTCTCTCTGTAGGTAGGCAACCCCTACCTACCTGGGCTGAGGCCATGCCAGCCCTTGCTTTTCCCCCTGACCCAGGCCGCCCCAGCCCTAGCTCTCCCCCACCCCATTGAGGCCACCTGTCCTGGCTCTTCCCCAACCCCCAGACTTAAATCTACGCTCCCCCCAGCCACGAGGGAGAGCTGAGGCCACAGCTGGAGCCCTGAGAGCTAGCCTCATCTCTGCTCCCAGCAGTCAGGGAGGGCTGAGCCCTGGGCCTGCTTTGTTGTCCCATGGACAGCCCGGGCCTGCTGCTGGGGAGAGGAGCCCAGCCACAGCTAAGGCTGCTGTCCACGTGGTGCTGGCAGAGCCCAGAGCATCTGAGCCCAGGAGGGGGTGGAAATCATGGCCTGGAACTGGGGGCAGAGTGACATGTTGATGTCACTCTATTGTCCTGCAGGAAAAAAAATTATAGAGAGAGACAAAATGAGAGAAAACAGCTGGTTTTGTTGTTTTGTTTTGGGTTTTTTTTTTAAGTTTTTCAGCTTCTCTGACATCAAAGTGTCCCCCTGCCAAACTACCTTAGGATAGGTGCCTCACAACATTTTAACTTCCACACTCATAATTGCCCTTCCATGAAAGGCCTCTCTGTCCAAATATTCATCTAAGATAATAGCCATATAAACTAGTTAGTTGTATGTTTTAAAGAATTTCCAGTGGTACCTTGCAAGCCATGCTTTGTACAAGATTTATTATGATTGCATAACATTAGTGACAACAATAGTGCAAACAATCCTTTTTTATACAGCATCATACTGAGCACCCACACCTTCATCTCAGGTTAATGGGTCTACGCCGCACCTCTGAAAATCAGAGTGCAAGGTTTGGTTCAGCTGATAATTGTGCTTTTTCTCCTGCACTATTGATTGTGTCTTTCCTTTTCTTGCAGGAGAACGAGGCCCAGTTGGTGACCCAGGAGCTGACGGAATTCCAGGCTTTCCTGGCACTTCAAACATTTCAGGAATACCTGGTGATATGGGTTCCCAAGGTTTAGATGGAGTGCCAGGTAATATATGCCCTGCATGGATTAGCTGATGCAGAGCAAATATTAAAATATTTAATACAGATGTTTAGCAATGTCTGTTACTGAGATATATATTTTAGTTCTAATTAAGGAAAGTATCACAAGATCTATGATGGTACTCCTTTGATGACAGCTCTAGCAAACCCTCCACAGACTCCTTGTCATATAGTGCAAACACTTGACAAATTGCCTTAGTTAGATTCTGCATCAGCATTTCTTCCTCGATTCATACTTTTCCCGAATCCAAGTTTTAGGACTTTTCTAGACTTGCACATCTGGGCTGTTGAATAGTAAAAACCAGGAAAAGAAAATACTATGAAGGGGCCTTTATTGTTTCTCTTTCCGTAAATCCTACTTGAGAAACTTTGACTTAAAGGCCTAATGTAACTAATTCCTTCCATGCTATAGGCTATCTCAGTCTAACAACAGGACCACAGAATGGATAGGGATGGTGTCTCTGACCTCTGTTTGCCAGAAGCTGGGACCGGGGATGGATCACTTTGCACTAGGCATTGACCACTGTCAGCAGGCAGGATACTGTGCTATTTGGTCTATTGGTCTGACCCAGTATGGCTGTTCTTATGCCTCTTGGGTCCTGCAGGTATTAGCCCTCTTCCCACCCTGGGTTCAGTGATTAAAACCTGGCAAGAGATTCATGCTTCACCCTGTTAATTTTCCCCCATGTCCATACTACCTGTCCTGTCTTTCAACACTAATTCCAATCTAAATGTACTCACACAGGCTATCCAGGGCCTCAGGGCAGACCTGGACCCCCAGCTCTACCAGGAAGCAAAGGAGAAGAGGGTCAAATAGGTGTGCTTGGAGAAGATGGTCAAAAAGGATCTAGAGGTGACCCTGGACTACAGGGGAGACCTGGAATTTCAGGGTACCCTGGACCAAAAGGTACAGCTGAAAAGGACACTTTTGTAAATAAATGCTTATTTGTTGCTACAGTAGATGCTAAAATTGATAATTAATTTGTATTATCTGTGCGGAGCTACAATCATTCAAATGTGTCATCTTGCATTAAAGGCTATAAAGGTGCGCAAGGTCTCATGGGCTCTCTTGGCTTTGTGGGAGTATCTGGTGACAGAGGGCCCACTGGACCCAAGGGCGACAGAGGACAAACAGGTGAGCAAGATCCTTCAGGTGCTATCCTATTTCAGTTATTAAACAATAAACTTCTCT